ATATATGTGAGATAAAAAGGTGATTAAAAAATGTATTGATGATGCAAGTAAATCAGTGAGTGTAAATAAGGTGGAAACAATATATAATCCAAATACACTCAATATTATTTTGTAAAAATTTATTTGATTACATCATCAACATATTTTTTAACCATCTTTTTATCTCACGTACATAACATAAAAGAAGTGCTATAGTATTTTTTTTTTCAAAAAATTATCTCTAATAATTTACTATCCAAACTGTAGAATCCAAAAATCTATATAGGAGATAAATTTGACAGAACCAATATCATAGGAAGGTAATTCACACACATAAAAATATGTTTGGGAGAAGACGAATAGTACCAATAATAATTTATTAATGACATCAGAAGAATAAGACTCTCAATTCTTCACTCTTCTCAACTAAATACAATAATATAACTCCCTATTTATAGACTAGATGATTTAATAAATAAGTCTTACAACTATAAAATTTTTTTAATAAGATACCAATGTCTAAACAATCAAACTGCTATAACTTGACTCCAATAAAATTACTAAAACCCTAACTTAACTAAAACACTACTAAACAATAATATAAAAATTTTTAATTTGAAGCCTTGATTAAATATGCTGACACAAACACACTCCTAGCAATAAAATATATTTGGTAAAATGATGAATGATGAGAAATTATTCCGAATCCCTGTGTTTCGCATGTAAGGTCAACAAGAATGAGACATATTGATTAACAAAGTATAATTAAGTAGAAAGAAAAAAAGATAAAGAACAAAAGTCTCCATGGTTACAATTTTATATGCAGAACCAAATCTTGTGAGAGATTTGAAAACGTTTTCAAAGGGAAGAAACATAGGACCTTCGTGGCACTCTTTTACAACAGGCATGAATGCCCTTGGTCCTATGATTGTATAGACTAGTCAAATAAAACAAAGGAAAAAGATGTCGCAAGGATGAATAGTATAGACTAGTATGAAAGAATTTGTATCTTATGCTTGGAAACCATTGGCTCGAATTCTTAATTGGAGGAAAGGTTATTTCATGAATGATCTTCCTTTCACTTTCATTATGGACACCTACTAATGAAGAATGTACCACGGTCAATGTTTTCACCCCAACTCTTAGGTGTCATGACAAGAATCAAGAACACATGCATGGAGAGAAGTCTCTTTTGCATGGCCAAGAGCAAGAGCCAGACTTGATACCTGTTGGCCGATGATTTCTGAGGTCATAACACTTGCAAACAGTAAATTCTATGTCATGAATGGGTTATTCTATGGGGTGCATTAATACATCTAAATCACACTCAGTCTATTATGATTTATAGAGGTGCATATACTAATAATTATTATTTCTTTTGTATTTATATTATTTTTCTAATGAAATTTATATAAAAAAAATTTAACACTTGAGTTACATAGTTATAGTTTAACGAGTATCCAATAAAGACCTATCATGAATTACTTTCATGTTTTGAATTCATTCTCTTTCCAAAATAAAGTTTTCGGGTTCATCCTTCTCATAAAATGTGTATATCACAATACAGCGACATCAAATTTTAATTAATTGAGAGAAGAGCATTATCCGGGGACACTAAGACTGGTTTGAAGCAAAAAAAAAAAAAAAAAAAAAAATTTTTTTTGATTCCAAATACTAGTTATTGGTTGGTGGATCTCCTGCACATTTTGTTCATGTTTTCCCCTATTATTTTCTGTTTTTCTTACAAGATCCCTAATAATTCCTTAATTATATCCTTTGAATGGTTAGAACTTATATGTGCAAACACGGGACTTTGGTTGACCAAGAGTCAACTTCAAAATGGCCATTACACCAAATAATGGCTCTGCGGTTTTGCTAAACATTTTTTTTTATTTCTAGATATTCTTTTTGTATTTTTTGTTGTTAGTGCTGGATCAATAATTGCTTAGTCATTCATAACTTGTTTCTAATGTATGGAAATAGGGTTGAAAAATAAACCAAATTACTCAATACTCAAATCGAGTTCGGCTGTGAAACAGTTTATCCAAGTTTGATTCGCCAGTTAATCAAACTAAACTTGAACAGTAATTTATGTTTGATAAAATTTCAAACTCAACTTGAGATCGGCTTAATTAGCATATAAATGAAATTTATATATAAAAAGTTCAAACTACTTGACCTCGACTTAGTTTGACTCGAATCGAGTTTATTCGAGAAATAAACGAGTTAAATTTGAACAAAATTTCAAATTTATCAAAATAACCAAACAAATTTAAATATTAAAGTGTTGGACTTCTTTTGACTCATTTATACCCCTACGGGTGAACTGCTTATTAAGTTCTACGGCTTTCGACATAAGTGAGTTAAGTACCACTCCTCTATAACAAGTGTTTTAATTTAGTGAAGGATTACATGCAATAAATCTTCTTGAAGAAACAACGAGTTATAGGCTATTCAGGGTAGACCTTAATTTTTGGATATTTTTCTTTTTTCTTTTTTTTTTTTAAATTGTACTTTTCTCTTTCAACAAATTTAAGGTGTTATTTAGCTTCAGGATTTAAGTGGATAGGATTTCTGATTGTTTATGTCACCAAGAAACCAACTCAAACACAAAATGCATCATCAAGCCTGCAAGCGCAAGAATCGACAAAATGAAGGGAAATAGAATCGAGAAAACTTCTCCAGAAAATAGCAAAAACTTAATGACAGGTGAAGAAGAAAGAAACATCCAAAATAATATAACAAACCTTACCTATGCTATGCTATCAGTACTAAGTAACAGTCTCGAGCCCAACTGTAAAAAGCTTCATTGTCAAGTGAAAACACACAAGATATCAGACAAACAAAATTTATCGAAGTAAAATTCCAGTATCATCATCAATAGCTTTTAAAAAAAAAAATGAAGGGCTACATTGTTGTAGTTTTAGCCTTGGTTCAGCTGATGATTGAGCCAGGGCAGGCAATCAAGTGCCAGAAGTGGATGGATATTTGACCAGGTGCGTTCCCTATCTTAATGCAGGTGGCGAGCCAGGGCCAGCATGTTGCAGTGGTGTCAAAAGCTTGATAGCGGCTGTGAAAACGCCAGCAGACAAAAGGGACGCATGCAATTGCGTTAAAGAAGCTGCAAATCACTTCCCCAGTCTCAAGGATGATGCTGCCCAAGCCCTTCCTAGAAAATGTGGTGTTACCCTCGATATCCCTATCTCCAAAAGTGTCAATTGCGACAAGTAAGTAACTTTATTGTAGAAATGATTAAATTAGATTAATTAGTGCTAAATCTTATGGATTCTGCTAATACTAATGCTTGCATAATGCTTATACTGACAGCTTAAGCTAAGATCACTGGAGGAGTCCACATTGAGCAAGAATAAAGAGAGGGAGAGTTTGTGGAATGGGACATCTGGTTCCCATTCTCCTTTTTTTTTTTTTTTGGGTCAAAACATCTGGTTCCAATTCTCGGGCAACATATAGTAGTACAATAAGTTTTTGTTTCTTTGTACGAATAAAATAAGCCGTATCCAGATTCTTAATCATATTGCTTCTGAATTTTCTCTGATTTAGTGACTTACGAAGAAGTTGGGCATGTCCACATGTGAAAATACACAGGCACGTTGGTCGAGTGGCCTATTTGTCTATTACATATATAGTATCGTTCAACATTGAAGATTGTTCCTTGCTTTCACTCCTAGGAAGCTTTGACTGGTCATGCCCGTCTGAACTATGAATCACATGCGTGTACGGGATTAATAGGTTTTTTTTTTTTTTCCTTTAAACAAAAGGGGTACTGTTTATATGTCTTTGGCACAGAAACCTATAACATTTCTTATTTCAATTCCAGAAATAGGAATCCTAGAAAGTGGACTGATTTGGGATAGGTAACGTGGAGAATGATCATGGCAACGGCAGAACTACTAGAGTAAAGAACCCCCCAGAGAGCAGGAAAATCTCGCCACTGGCCATTTGGTACAGTAGTCATCACCATCACCATAATTGTGATGCTGGAGGTTAGGGATCAACCTACCTCCCACAATTTGGCCATAATATGTGGCTGATTTTAGTTGATCATTCCCCTGTCTCTTCTCTTAGATTAGGCTAGAATAGGTTATACAACATCTATCGTTGTCGAAAAAAAAAAAAAAGAGTAGGAAAATCTCTTTTTTGAATAGTTTGTCTGTGTATTTGTCTTGGTCGGTGGCAGTTCAGTTTCTTTAAGTTTTTTTTTGAATCTCTTTAAGTCTTCCTCTCTTTTTAGTATAGAGTAGAAATATGTGTAAAATAAAATTTATTGTATATAAAAAAAAGAGTAGGAAATACCAGTATGGGAGGGAACCCACGATTTGACTTGAACTATAGCTTATATAACAAAGACAATATTTATGAAATCATAAATGTCATAAACAGTTATACTTTTAACACGGCACCATTAATTGAGAAATGAATTCACTATGTTATATTAATTAATATATATTTTTCATTTTATCGTTATGAAAGTTTCACAATTTTGAATTTAATTCAGAAAGATTTTGCCCATGCTTCCCAGGAAAGGTATGCATTTGCTACTAAAGTCATTGGGAGTTCAGCAGGTAAAGGAATATTTCTCAAAGATGCTCTAATTTCGACAATAAGATGAGACAAATTATCCAGGCATACGATTGATTTTTTTTTTTCACCACATTTCACAATAATATGACATCATCGGGACAAACATTTGAATTTTGAGAAAAGACAAAATTGTATGAATTTAATCTGTGTTCTCTATATCATAACTTAAATGGATTTTATTTTTTTTAATTTGGTTTGAAATATTTTTATTGCTCTAGCAATAATAGAGATTCTCATAATAATGAAAAGGGCAAAAAAAAAAACTAAGAAAGCATCAAATTCACGTGAATATCACGTGTTTTATTACTAGTAGTAATAAAGAACTACTGAAATTTAATATTAACAATCTTGTAATATACTAATTTGTTCCAGATTGCTAAAAAAAAAAAAAAAAAAAAAATTGTTCCGGCTAGCTAGAATCTAGATGGAGGCATTGGCAAGTTTCCTCTTCTTCGGAGAGGAAGAAGTGGAAGGCTCTGGTGAACGTCTCTTCGGGCTCACCGTTTGAGGAGTCGAACACATGTTAGAGCCAATCAAGTGTGGAAAATTGAGCACAGCCCGGGCACCCCTTATTTCAAAAGCTGCCCGGTCGTAAGCCATGGCAGCTTCCTCAGGTGTCCCGTATGTTCCGAGCCAAATTCTTGACCCTTTCTTCCTGGGGTCCCTTATCTCCGCCGCGAACTTCCCCCACGGCCTCCGCCTTACGCCTCTATACCTTGTCCACTCAGCCGATGCGTTCTTCCCACGCGCCGCCGCTGACCCGTTTCTGTCCTCTTCCTGCTCGTCAATGTTGACCAAGCCGTCGGTGGTGGTTCGGTGCGAATTATCCATGTTTGGCAGTGTTTGACCGCAACTTTCTGCCAAAGGAGAGTTGTTGAAGCTAGTGTTTGACTTAAAATCGTCAATAGTTGCATCATGAGAAAAGCTAGGAAAAATATCAGAAAATAGAGAATCATTCAAAAGCTGCTGGTGTATGGAATCAAGTAGGGCAAGATCAGTGTTTGACATGGCTTCTGAGTGCATGAATTTCCAGTTGAAGTTGAAAACAGAGATGATTTCTGAGATGGGTTCTGGTTCTTTTGGTCAGCTGATCAAAGAGTTATTGGAAGTTAAAAGCTTTGTACATCGTTCTTATATATATACAAGAGAAATTAGGCATGCAGGAAAGTTCGTTATTCTATTCGTGAATCACGTTCCGGAAATGGCTTTATTAATTCAATTCAAAGACGTTAATGTATTACTATTTGTGGAACCTGTAGCGAAGGTTCACTAGCCATTTAAGACCCAACAGGATAGCTTAACATATAACTTTATACTCATTTTTTCTGATTCAAAGAATCACTTTGAGGTTTCTCACTCAAGATGAGCATGACATCATAGTGATGATGAATTGGTTTTGCAAGAATGATTTTTTTTTTTTTTTAAATAATCGTGAGCACTTCCTTCCTTTCTGTCGATTGAGGGTATGGAATTTTGGTTTGGTTGGGACAATGGACTTCAAGTATAATTAAACAGCTTGAACAGACATTATACTATCCATTTTTTTTTTTTTTTTTTACAATCCCTCTCACCTTACCATCAGACTTATAATTAACCCTTCTCGGACATTATATTACACTCATCTGTCTCATTGTTCGCTAAGGTAGAAATGCAATTAGAGATCGAGTAGAGAGTCAAGCAAACACAATCAGAATTACTGGATTTAGAATTCTTAAACAATTGATACCATCCCTAGTTTATTGAACAACTGTACTGCTAATTTTGGTGATAGTACTATTTGCTAACTAATTAACAACATTGTCTATGACACATTTTTTTCCCTTTAGCATTTTTTTTTTATGAGTTTAGCTAATGGATGTCCGCTGGGTACTCATTAAAAAGTCTAAAAAATTGAAATTAATTCAGAAAATTTTTTCAAAAAATTGTCAAAGAGTAAGGGAGATATTCAATGTAAATCAGTGCATATATATGTGCATCTACGTGATTAGTTAGGTATACTAATGAGTGCTTTTCTAGTTTAACACTACATTTACAGGTCAATATTAGCGGCCAATTCTACGGTTCTCAGGTTGATTGATTTTTTTTTTATTGCTCTCCATGTTTTAACTCATTCTTGATTAAATCCCCAAGAGAAAGCAACGATATCTAAGAAGACGTCACCTAAATAAGTACAAAGTGAGAAAATAGATTAAGTTACTCCTGCAAGTTTATAAAAGAAAATAGGCTTTTGCCACTGAATCTTCAAATTCTTGGCCTGTTTATTTAAGCAGTGTAGGCCTAACTTGCAACCAAACCCGCACCTTTTGTTTCATCAAGTGGTCAACTCACGTTTTGCACAAGGGGTTGATTTGTTGAGAGGATCTTTAGAGTTACCAATACTTAGTAACATGAAAAAGGATGAGAGATAAACCTTCTTCTTCCTCGTGGTGGCATGCAAAGTCAACTAGCATGTTAGCCAACAGAGGATTTGTTTGGATTGTGAATTATTAGAGATATTTTTACTGTAGCACTTTTTGTGATGTGATGTATGTGAGATAAAAAGATAATTGGAAAGATAAAAAGCTGTATTGAAAATTGTAATGATGACGTAAGCAAATATATTTTGACAAATAAACCGCAATCCAAACAAACTTAGAGAATAATTAAGTAAAAGAATGCAAAGGACAAAGGCCACAATGCTAGCATATTTTCTGAAAGATTTGACAACGTTTTGAAAAGGAAGAAGCATAGGGCCTTCGTCGCACTTTTTTTATATGATGATGATGATGATGATGATGATATAAACTATTTACAAACAGAAGACGCAAAGGCAGCTACCACTAACCATTGGTCCAAATTCTTAATTAAAGGAAAAATTAATTCACGACTCGTCTTAAGAATGCAGCACGTTCAATTATTCTAACCCGAACCTGTGAGCGACATGACAAGAACAGCAGCGCAGAGAGAATACCCAGAGTTCCCTTTTGGATAACTGGCCCAAGAGGAAGAGCTAAAGTTTGATGCTCGTTAGCCTATGATTTTCCGACGGTTTAATTCCACTTTATACCCTTTAACTATACTTAAATTTTCACTTTAGTCCTTAAACTTAAAAATGAGACACTCTAATCACTAAATCATAAAATTTATTTCACTTAAGTAACATCATTAAAGAAATGAGACAGATTTTATTATTAAGTGGGTATACTTTAGGGACTAAATTGGGGCAAATTTTATACTTTAAGAAATCAAATGGACAAATTCTATATTTTAGGGACTTAAGTATAATAAACTTTATACTTTAGGGACTAAAGTACTCCATTTTAAAGTTTAGATACCAAAGTGAGAACTAACCCTTTGACCCATAAAACTTGCTTAACATAAACTTTCTATCATGAATTTCTTCAATTCCAAGTTTTGAATCCTTCTAATAAAAACATGTACACCATAGTTCACCCAAACTAAAGTTGAATTAATTAATCAAGAGATGAGTATGCAGGTACTAATTTTGGTTTAAAATAAATAAAAATAAGGTTTCAAATACCAGTTATGATATGCCTTTGCTCACATCAGCCCACATTCAATACCTTCTCATTTAGGGGTGGCAATGGGGCGGGGGATTCTTATCAAATAACTCCCCCTACCCCCGCCCCAACCCCTGCCCCTTGCCCCCTACCCCCGCCCCATTTCCCCCGTGGCCCTCCACGGGGGAAGAAATTAACTTATCATAAATGTTTACTTATAATAATACAATTGTAAACAATGTTCAATAAGATTAAAAAGTTGTCAAGATGGAAATAAAACACAACAAGTCAAGTTACATTCAATGCGGAGGAAGGGAACCGATCGAAATAAAAATGGGTTTGGAGCAAAATAGGTTGGAATTGGATAGTTTAGTCTTTTGGGGGGGGGCGTTGGAAACAAATCAACAATAGTCCAAAAAATTTCTTCAATTGTTGCGGCGGCGGCTATTTATTTATTTATTGTATCCAGGGGACAGGGCAGGGGATGGGGCAGGTGTATATTGCCCCACCTCGGTCCCGTTTTAAGGCGGGGGGAAATATTTTGCCCCTGCCCCGCCCCATCCCCCTTCTCATTTCTACCCCTACAGTGCGGGCACCCGCCTCCATTGCCATCCTTATTCTCGTTGATTTTGAGCATTCCCCTAGACAGTTAATTCAATTCTTTTCCCAAGCACCCAAAAATTATCAACATTTTCTCCTAATATTTCCTTAGGTAATTGTTTTGAGTGGTTCTATATATCAAATACTTGTGTGGACTTAGTCAAAGGGGCTACATGTAACGTTGTGGTCACCAAGCAACTAAATCATCATAGTGATACCATATGGATATAGGCTCATATCATATGAGGTCAAATTAATTACTTGAAAACTTGATGGTGTTAGGATTCAAGTGCGAAACAAACAACTATTGAGATATTAAGTACACAATAATTTAATAATACACAAGCCACAAGTATGAAAGATAAACGACACATAATATTTAATGTGTTTCGGCTCCACCATTGAACTTACGCCCACGGAAAGAAACCCATTCTTTATTATAAGAGGAAAATGCTATATAAGAAGACAACTTGAACCCAAATCTAATCTTTGTATATCATATTTCATCTTCCAATAACTCTCTCTTACATCCCATGTATAAGGCTACATGTTGTCTTTGTGTGCCCTTGTGTGTCCTTTGTGTAGTATGTCAACTCATCTATTTATAGGGAATAAACCCAAATAACAAAAAGAAATCAGTGCTAATTCTTAGATTTATACAAAATTGGAAATAACTTTTAAATCCTAAATAAAATAGAAAATTCTTTGACTACTATTTCAAGTAACTAAAATCAATTAGGAAACTCGTTACTTCCACACAAAACAAAAAATCTACCTAAAAGAAATTAAACCAATTTCCTAACAAATCTCTACCTAGACGAATATTTCTTTTAACAATCATTTACCTTCAACTACCAAATAATATGATACAGAACTACACACCCGAATTAATACAATCCTGACACCAAATTGATTCAATCGACAAATGAACATGTATAGTTATCCCGATTCCAATTTTCAGTTGACTCGTGAGAAGGTGTCTCAATTCACCATATTCTTTTACAGGATTTCTTCTCACCACCACTTGCAATCTGAGATCCCCTTTAATGAGCTTTAAGGCTAATCATTGAGGTAACCAAGTGATAAAATCACCATATTTCTTTCCATCTTCAGAATTATCTCGCCACGTGTGATTTTCAAGATTCCACCCAAAAAGAAAAACTTGTAACTGTTAGGGTCTTCTGATGTATGGAAATTAGATCTCTTTTTTTTTTTGGAACACATGCCACACCACTCAGAGAATATAATCAAAATCTAAAATTCACCGGGATGAAGTATTGGAGGTGTGAGAAAGTCTTTACCGATTCACCGTCAAGTATTTTCATGTTTTTTGACTTCCCATTCTTCACCATCAATACTTTTTGCCAAACCATTGAAATAAGGATACCACTCATTAAATTGTTCAATTGGTAACAGCCACAATCCACTTGATCTCAGTAGTCAACCAGGATCCAACCATAAACAACCAAACTCTTGATCCAACCATTCAGTTTGTTGGGATCCAAATATTTGTGAGCAACCCAATTTCGCAACCAAATTCTGATACCATTTGTTAGGATTTAAGTGTGGAACAAACAACTATTGATATATCAAGTACACAATAATTTAATGATAAACAATAAACAAGTCACAAGCATGAAAAATAAACGACATACAGTATTTAACGTGATTCGACTCCACCATTGAGCTTACGTCTATGGAGAGAAACTCATTCTTTATTATGAGAGAAATATGCTATACAAGAATACAATTTGAATCCAAGTCTAACTCTTGTATACCATCTCCTATCTCTCATCTTCCAAGAACTCTCTCACACACCCCATGTATAAGGTTACATGTTGCTTTTTGTGTGCCCTTGTGTGTTCCTTATATTGTATGTCAACTCACCTATTTATAAGAAATATTATTTGACCAAAATCTAAATAACAACAGAAAATGAGTACTAATTCCTAAACTTATACAGAATAGGACATAAATTCTAAATGTTAAACAAAATAAGAAATCCCTTGACTACTATTTTAAGTAACTAAAACTAATTAAAAAATTAGTTACTTCCATACAAAACAAGAAACTTACCTAAAATAAATTAAGTCAATTTCCTGACTGATGGATCTAAGGTCTGCAAGTGGTGTCATAAATCTCATCTATGTAAATATTTTCCTGCGAAAAAAATGTGCTTTAATTGACAAAGGGTCAACTCTAAATTGGCTCCGTTATTTCTCTGTTTAGTGAAATTAAACAGTAAATGCTAATAATGGCTCTGTTATTTCTTTGTACTGACACTTTTTTTGACAATTTTTTTTTTACCTTTTTTCTTTTAATGCTGGCTCGATAATGGCTTACTCATTTGCAAGCAATCTCTGCAAAGAGCTGAAGTTCTGTCAGCTTTTCTCATGAACGATTTATACTGAAGCCCCTTTCTCCTATTGAACTGTTTTAATTGAATGAAGAATTATTTATGGGACGAACCTTATTACAGGAACATCGAGGTATACGTAACGATTCAGGGTAGATGTTAAAGTGTGACTTTTTTTTTATTTTTTGGAAACTTTTCTTTTCTTTTCTTTTTCAACAAAATTAAGGTACTGTTACTCAGCTCCCGAGTTAAGTGGATAGGATTTCTGATTGCTTTTGTCACGAGAAACAAACTTAAACACCGAAGATGCATCATAAAGCCTGCAAATGCTAGAATTGGAAAAATGGAGAGAGTTAGGATCAAGAAAACTTTTCCAAGAAATAGAAGAACTGAATGACATATGATAAGAAAGAAACATCCAAAATAATATAACAAACCTTACCCATGCAATCAGAAGTGACAGTCTTGAGGCACCTATAAAAGGCCTCAATACTAATACACAAAATCCTATAGAAGCAACAATTTATCAAAAGTATCAAATCCCAGTATAATCATCAATAGCTTGAAAAAAAAAATGAAGGGCTATATTGTATCAGCACTTGTAGTTTTAGCCTTGGTTCAGCTGATGATTGAGCCAGGGCAGGCAATCAAGTGCCCAGAAGTGGATGGATATTTGACCAAGTGCGTTCCCTATCTTAATGCAGGAGGCGAGCCAGAAGCAGCATGTTGCAATGGTGTCAAAAGCTTGGTCGCAGCTCTGAAAACACCCGCAGACAAAAGGGACGCATGCAATTGTGTTAAAGATGCCGCAAATCAACTCTCAAGGATGATGCAGCCTGAGCCCTTGCAGCTGGCAAATGCGGTGTTACCTTGGATATCCCCATCTCCAAAAACGTCAATTGCGACAAGTGAGACAAATTAAAAACCGAATTAGATTGTTACTACTAGTACGTACTCTTGTTAGGCAGCATAAATTGGCTGCTACGTAAACTAGTTTTACTGACAAATTGGATGGTTTCACTGCGATTTCTTCTTTGCAGCGTTAGCTAAGATGGAGGTGATCATGCATCAAGGAAGAATAGACACTAGCGCAGGGCATTTCAGGCTTGTGCTGTTCGATCATTTGCTGTTTCATTTTAGTTGTGGGATGTTAATTACGTGGAAATTTCTAGCTTTATTCTTACTAAACTTTGCACTCCAAAAGGATGAAAGGCTTGTTTCTTTCAGCTTTGCATGCCAAAAGTTCCACCACAAAAAAAAAAAAAGGAGAGAAAGAGGAATAAATGCTCTATTGAGCTTCTTATTTGGTATTGCTTTAATGTGTACTTCTTCTTTCATTTTTTTCCCCCACAAACATAATATCAGGGTGACAAAATGAGTCTTTATGCAACACCTAGTGTCTGAATTCATAGCTGAACTACAACTAGGTCAAGAACCGTAGCTCACAAAATGGAATTAGTGTATCACTCGATCTGAAATGCCAACGTGAGAAAGATCTATTAATCTTCCATTTTGGTTTATTATCAAGGAAAAGAATGCTAACACACATGTTCATGTCTTTGGAAACAGTTCAAGCATCCATTACTCATTACTCATTCACCTTGCAGAGATATATTGACAGATCAAACTCTTTTTTTTTTGGCATTTCCAACTCTAAATTTTTTTTTTTTTTTACCATGACTATAAAGTGGTTAAATCAGACACAAAAAATAGCGCAACATTATAAAATCAAGAATAGCTTAACCCAGAAATCAAGAAACAAGCAAGTGTACTACTATCTTGTCAAAAAAAAAAAAGAAAAAAAAAAGGAGAAAAGCACTAGTATCTTTAATTACAAATTTCTCACTTTAGTTTTTGGACGTTCAAGTTTTCCTTTTTTCTAGAGAATCCAAATTCCAAAGTACCCCTAAGTGAGCACTTATGTTTAGCTTTTGGGCCGTTATATTATGGGCTTATCTTAACAAATTAGACCGTATGCATGGATCGACCCGTGTGAGGATCCAACTCACATCATGGGTCCGATCTTACGAAATCAACTCACTTTCCAGTTTCCACTTTAGCTCCCTCCAGAAACCTTACCTCTTTTCACTCCCCAGTTGGCGCATCAGTCAAATCTTCTGTTTAACTACTCCAGTTCAATAAGGTCGGTTGGATTTTCCTCTGTCTTTTTATTTTGGGTTATTGCATATGCTTTATTGTAGAATTTCAAGGTTGTCAAATAAGTGATGTTAAACCATTTTGTAATAATTTTGATCTAGTGCATGTTGATTTTGTTGCATTATGTGTTTCTGATCAGAAATTAGTGATTAATGGTAAGGATTAAATCTCTGGAAGCCAATGTTATTGCTTGACAATTGAGGTGGTTTTTAGTTCTTATTCTTTCTTGAAACTGAGCTGAAAAGTGGAAATGTTAATAGTGGTTTAACAGCGTTTGAATTTTCCCTACATTATGATAATATTGTTGGCAGTTAATTTGGATGGATCGGTGGACTGGAATTCTGAAGGTGCCGTTGCATCCGAATAGCAGCAGTTTCTATAGAGTTGCTGCGTCTCTGTGCATCTTTTCTTCCACTAAGACTCTTGCTGTGAGTTTTTGTTTCGCAATCATTTTGGTGAAAATCCCTATTAAGGGTAGTGTAAGTTTTGTATTAATGAATAAACAGGGCTTAATTTTTGCATAATTTCTATGAAAATGTGCCTACATGATGTACAATCGATTGATGCCTTTCATAGAAGTCATGCCAAAGTTTTGCCCTTATCTGCCATAAAACCTTCACCTCCATGATGGGTAACTTTTCACTGATCACAGGTTTGATTTCTTTGAGCTGTATTTTCGGTTATGTTACATAGTTCTTTAATGCGAATTCTCCTTAGGTGTAAGATTTATTATAATCTGTAAGTATAGGGATTAATTATTTGCAAATCCGAGCGATATTTCAAATTGTAAAAGCTTTGATAATTGAAGGCAGTTTTGAGAAAGCAAATGTATAGTATACGTGCTTTTGGAGATCAAGGTTGAAGAAATATTGAAGGTAACAAACAGAATTTGTGGTATAAGCAGGTGCCTTCTGCGAATGCCATCTTCTTCAATGGGGATCAAGTTGAAGGCACAGGAAATTTTGTGATCGAGAGGTTATCTGATGTCCAGAAAATTGCTGAAATTTTGGTTTCAAAATTTGGGTCTACCATCAATGCTTGGGTTATTGAGGCCAACACTTTTAATGGTCCTTTTGCTGTGTACAAGGATTTTATTCCGACTGTCAACCTTGATGGCGAACCACAATCTTACAATGCAACAGGACTTCCTGCTTCATCATCAATTGTCTTGCTGTTGTCTAATTGTTTAAAAGAGGTAAAACTTGGTGCTTTAATTATGATTTATTCTTCCCTCTGTTGTTCTCGTATATTTAGTGATCATATTACTCTATGCTCATTCTCAATGGTTACAACTCACAGAGCTGTAATTTTGAGCTGTAAAACATTTCTTGGAAAATATTGTTATGTCTCATTTCAATTATTTCTTCACAGAGGACACGAGATTTAGATGCATCCAAGCAATGTCCTTTTATTCTGTCACCTTCAAAACATTTGTTTTTAGGCTTGTCTAGAATGCACAAATAATTAGACCATTGGGTGTGAATGGTCTAGCATATCCTCTTCTTTGTATTGCTTGCTTGATGGTTAACATGCTGTTTACGTTAAATCTTTGGTCGGAACATGATGGCACTTTGTTGATTTCTTTTAAGTGGAATATAGGTCAATACGTATGTCTTTAAGATGAAATCATGATTCAGGAGTCTGGAAGCTATAGATTACCTAGCTGTGGAGCTTTCTTGGTTAGCAGCAAAAGGCGATTTGATTTGGAGCATAATTTGGCTGATATAACACAAGTTCAAAGAATAGGAGGTATTGTTTGAGGTCTGCAGCAGAAGAACTATGAAACAAAAGAGACTTTATATTAGCGAAAAACAAACAGGCAATAACTGATGAATCATTGGGTATACTAGGTGGATGAACAGAAAATGCTAGATTTTAATTGAGCAATAAGATCTTCATTCAGAGCAGTTCCTCTTCCAAAGAAGCAAATAAAATCTACTCTTGATTTGGGTGTGTCTTCTTCAGCTGAATGAGCAGTCTGGGATTCTCTTCTTAATGACGCAGAAAAATTGAACAAGAAGGTGCTCAAATAAAAAGAGCCAATGGAAAAATCAAACTACTCTTATCATTTATCTTGCTTCCATGCTACCCCCAGGGATAGACCAGAGGGATTATGCTGCCACATCAGAACATAAGTTCCAAGGCTATGTTTGATTCGTCAACTGAAGATATTCTATTCTTACATTCAAATCCATTTATCTGCATAACCATGTTTGAATTGGTAGCATCAACATTGCCAATAAAGTTGTGGTTTATGAAATTGTTGATGATTGTCTGGAAGTGTACTTGAGGAGAGAGGGTAGGTAAAATTGTGATTGGGCAAAGCTTGCCAAATCTGCAAGAATACTTTATGCTATAGAACTTGCTATAATTTCATATTTGCTCCAAGTTTGTGATCTTCAGATTATTTCTGTGGTTCTAGCAGGCAAAAAGTTCCATGTTAGGGGGACAGCCATATCAGGCTGCACCGTCCGCATCATGTTCCTTTAAACCAAAAACTCTGTTTCTTGGGTTTAGTAAGGGTGGTACTGTACTGAACCAGCTACTTACTGAGCTTGGCTCAATGGAAGTCCAACCAACCAGTAGCGATAGCCGAGCGAAGAAAACTATGATGGATGAAGGAAGTGGTATGTGGGAGGAGCATCAGATCATTCCCACTTCAAAAGAAGAACTCTTAAACAGCATAGCTGAGATTCATTATGTAGATGTTGGCTTGAATTCTGAAGGGGCATATCTTACTAACCAGGATGTGATTGAGGGTATTTCAGATCGTATTACGCGAAGAGCTTTTGGGATGCGGATCATCCTTCATGGAACTCCAAGACAGTGGTCCGATCGTTGGCGAACTTGGATATGCAAAGAAAAAAATGAATTTTTTCGTCTGCTTAAATTAGCAGCTCGGAAGAATATGGGGAAATTAATGCTTCGTGAGAGATTTTATTTTGCTGATAGGCCTCCTAGTTTGCAGATGCATTTTGAAATCATTGAGAATTTGGATGTTAGTTGAGAATTGGTGCTGCGGCAAGTGCAGCTTCCTTAGTGTCCTAATTTGGCGGTGAACTACATTAGAAAAGTACCATGTTGTCTAATGTCTATACGTTGATGTAAATGTGTACGTAATTCATGTAAATTTTTGTTTATGCAACTACAGCCTTCCTTGTGAATCGCAGCTTTTGCTTAAACAAGCTTTCGCTGTACTGGACAAAAGTTAAGCCAATTTTACTCTCTCTCTCTCTCTCTCTCTCTCTCTCTCTCTCTCTCTCTCTCTCTCGTCTTACTTAATGGAAGTCCACTTTTAGTTATTAATGTTATTATGACAAAAAAACTAACTAATTACACTTTCAGTTTCTAGCACTTTTACCACTTGTCAATAATGTCCATCAAGTTGTGCGAAAAGTACTTTCACCTCCAAGGTGTTGGAGGAAGATTGAACGTGTAGATTATTCTTTCGGTCTCTATCTCTTTTACCACTTCTCTTGAGTTGGACTAATCAAGGGCAATAAATATTAACAGTGGAGTAATTTGTCATGAGGGGAAGCTTTTTGAACCTCGATTTGACGTTTTGCCGAAGATGTTGGAGGACATTTGAACCTGTAGATATGTAACCTCGTAGTTGATATCCTCATTCTTCATTTCCCTTTCACACATGTAAGAATGAGGTAAAGGGGTAAATACAGAGCATTGAATGGAATATGGCCTAACAAGAAAGAGTTATTGCAAACGAGTTCAATCGAATCGAGTTTTAATCTAATCGAACATAGCTCA